TTTAAAAGGTAAATTAGGTCTTGAAAGAAGAGTTTTTACATGATTCACAATGATAACAGTTCAAATGTATTTTACCAAATCACGCAATAAACACGTTGTTTTTTTCTTGAGTAGCGTGAACTGATCGTGAACTCCGATTTGACCATGTTATATCGAGGTGGAATTGATTTTGAAATAATTTTAGCTTTCAATCTAAAGACTGTGTCTATCGCAGAAAGTATTTACTTACAAACAAAGAGGTGCTAATTCCACAAATTTGACTAGCCGCTACGTATCGTGCGACTAGGTCTATTGTTTATAAATTGTAATCCACGACTGGCAGGATGCGTGTCGGTCGGTACGTAATTATACCAACAATCAGACAATAGTCCTCGTCGGAAGCATTTCCGTGGTGGTCACTAATTTAGAGTGACGGTCGGGGCCGACCGGCGTGGCGAACAAAGCTTTTTCACATCTGATATTGGCATGTCAAATATGAAATCAAGCGCCGATGTGGGAACACATAGCGCCGAGGTCCCAAGTGAAGCGCCGAGATTCACAGGTATAGCGCCGCGGACCTCTGCGCTAAAAAGCCCTGGGGAGAACCCTGTGGTAATGTATCTCAGAATCCCATACTGGGTTTCAAAACCAACTCATGGAGAGATTGCACAGTCTGATACACATTTGCAAACCTACCAAAAAATTTTTTACAGAAAACAAGATGTCAGAAAATCAATATAAGCACTCCTATGAACTGGGTGCCAAACTTTGATCAAGATCTGAAGCTAATAGAAAATCTGTTTAGTTCAAAGTTATCAAATCAAAAACAATACATAAAAAATACATAAAAAGCAAAACATTTCATCCACATTTTAAAAAGAAAATTGTTCTAAAATATATGTATTCTGTATTTGACAAACAGTTCAATCGACAAATGAAAACTCACAGGAATATGTTTTAGCTATTAGAACAGAATGATAGAGTTTAATACTGGTTTAAAAACGCACTTCAAAGATTGCAGTGTTTGAAGATGTAGATTTTCAGGAGGCAACAGTACTGTTGACTTCTCCATCCACTGGACACCAACTAACTACAGTCAAACCTGTCTATAAAGGACAGTCAGTGAACTGAGCCAAACTGTCCTTTATAGACAGGTGGTCTTTATATGGAGGTGGCCTAATTTATTCATTCAATCATGAATATTAATTATGGCGGGAATTGTAAGGGAGATCATAAGCAAAACATAAAAACAAACCTACACATTCTACAATGAATAGGTCTTTTTTAATAAAAGTCACTCATTTTCATCTGGATAATTACACACCTTTACTTTTTTACTACAAATTATATCATGTAAATTCACTGAAACCAAGTGATTCTGCCCATGGATTCATTGGTGTATTTAATGCATAAGAACGATTGTCAACGATCGGCCGCATTGGCGTTTCAGCTCAGTCTTTCACACTCTCGCCATGCAGTCTTATTCTCCAGTCTCTTACACATATTCCATCACAGGCGGCAATCAGTCCCATCGTTAGTATTGTCGAATGTACACTGTGACAAAATGCACAGGCAAAGTTGCCGTGTTTGAAAAAACAAACAAACAAGCATTAAAAATGAAGAAGCATTGGTAATAAACAAAATTTACCAAACTCATAACGATTGCTCCAACTCTCGGTGTTGAATCAGAAAGTCAAACGAACCGGAAATGAAACACGATGATCGTACACGCAATTCTACAGTTATTTGTGGCAAGCGTCGACGTGTCAAAACTGCCCAAACGAAACGAATTTTCTCGATTGCGAATTATTGATATTACCTTTTATAAAAAAAAAAAGAGGATCAAAATGGAAAACATCTTTCGTTGAGAATAACCCTGAGATGACCCCTCAGTAACAATACGTTTTGCCCATGCGCTAGCCTCATTAGCATAATTTATAACGATCAATAACAAACAACATGGCGGCCAAAATAGGTCGGATTTTGCAATCTCGCGAGGAAAATGAAATAAACGAATGTTTTATTATTTTGTTTGGATATTTCATGTCGACAAGGTAAATAAAACATCTCTCATTTAATAAAACTGGTTCATTTTTCTTTGTTTTCGAGACGGGAGGAATTTGCTCTTCATGTGCGAGAAAGTCCACAGAAGTGCCGTTGGCCGGCTGGGGATCGATAGTATAGTACCGATCGGAAACAAGCTAGTTTTTCATTTCAAACTTTGAATGAAACTGTTTTAATTTGTTGTTAAAATCTTTCCAGTCTCCAGACGTTACATTCAGATGATATTCAACTTTTTTTTTTACTTTTTCGCAACTTCACAAACTAAGTTGCAATGGTCACCCTAGCTGTGGAATCATAACCCTATGTTGCCGACCGCATTATTTACGTGACTGACTCTGGCCAGCCCATAGGGCTATGGGGCCTTGTGCGACTGATACCGGTTAAAATCCACATGCCAAATTTGGTCGTCGTGAAAATCACATTTTAGACCTTCGAAAGTACTCACTATGTTTATTTACTTCCAAACAATGACCA